CCCCCTTTAAATAGCTGACCCGCATCCGTTGTCGCACCTGCACACCATCGTTTCGACTCGCAACGCCACGTTCTTTGACAGAACCCCAGTTTTCTTTTTACATCGCATCCATCATGAAGTTCCTCACCCTTGTTGCCGCCACCCTCGCCGTGGTCGCCGCCGGCGCCTCGGCCGACGCTAGCATCGAGGCGCGCGACCTCCCCGCCATGTCAAAGCACCCGCTCTCCATGCAGCGACGCGACGCCATCCTCAACCGTCGCCCCTCGCAGCACCGCGTCGCCAAGCGCGGCTCCAAGCGCGCCTCCAAGAACTCGTGCAAGGCAAAGACGCACAAGGCCGCCTCGGGCATGGGCAACAAGACCACCCAGGCCGCCAAGCAGCACTCGAGCGCCAGCTCCAACTCCAACTCCAACTCCAGCGCCCAGTCAGAGTCGCACTCGCAGGCCGAGTCGCAGTCTAGCTCGCAGGCCTCGAGCAACAGCCAGTCCGACTCCAAGGCCGGCTCGGACGCCAAGTCCAACGCCTCGAGCAACTCCAACTCGAACTCGCAGTCGTCGTCGTCTTCCGGTAAGACCGACTCCAACTCGAGCTCCTCATCCTCATCCTCCTCCTCCTCGTCGTCCTCGGCTTCGGGTGCCGGCCTGTTCGGCTTCAACGGCGGCAACTGCGGCTCGAGCGGCGCCAACGACAACCAGCCCAACGGCTCGCAGAACTTCCTCAACTGCGGCCTCACCTCGGGCGGCTGGAACCCGCCCAAGCTGAAGCTCGACCAGCTCAAGGTGCTCTCGGCCTCGCAGGCCGCCAACTCGGCCGTCTTTGCTCCGTGCAAGGACGTCCTCTGGGCGTTCCAGGCGGCCGAAAAGGCGCACGGCGTGCCCGCCACCGTGCTCATGTCGTTTGCCATGCAGGAGTCCACCTGCAACCCCAACGTCACCGGCGGCAACGGCGAGCAGGGCCTCATGCAGATCACGCCCGACAAGTGCGGCGGCGCGCCCGGCGGCAACTGCAAGGACCCCTGGTTCAACGTCGACGCCGGCGCAAAGTACTTTAAGAACACGCTCGACCAGTGCGGCGGCAGCGTGCTCCAGGCGATTGGACAGTACAACGGCTGGCAGCTCGGCCTCACCGTGCAGAAGGCCACGGCGGCCAAGTACCAGGGCAACTGCTATGCGCAGAACAACCTCGACTATCTGTATCAGATGCTCAACGGCTGGTTCCTCGGCAAGGCCAACGCCTACGACATGGGCACCTACAAGAACCTCGCCAGCTGCTGAGCGCCGTCTTTCTCTCTCGCACACTTTTTGTTTTTTCTTTTGTTGCTTGCGTTTTGCGTCTTTTGTACTTGCACAGCGCGGCCGCCACGGTGGAAAGCGGTCTGGGGCTGGATCCTAGAGTCTAAGCTGGTCGTGCGCGGGCCGGCGCCTTTCGCCTTTTTTGTTTTGCTCCAATTCTACGAGTTTTGTTTCGTCGTCGTTGGTTTGCGAGTGTGGTAGTATGATTGGATGATGCCGAGTGCAAGCGGTGCGTATGGATCTGTGTGGTGTCGAGGGCG